GCCCCTCCCTCCAAGGCAGGGGAGATGGAAAAGGGGTGGAAAGAACAATCTTCATCCCTAGTGAAGAGAAACTAGTGGGGCATCAGGGCAAAAACTGAGAATTGGAGATGCTCTCCCCTCTCTGCTGCAGGACACAGTGCAAGGACCACCCATTGCTGGAGATGGCTGGAAGGGAAGGAGGCTGCCAGCATTCCTAACAAAGCAATTGTTTAAGAAAATAACTTTCTCTGCATGTGAAGACTCAAAAGACAGGACAATCTTAGAAAGAGTTGGTGGAGAAACCCTCATCTCTGAAATCAGAGCATGACAATCAGGCTGGGTGCTTGTAAGCCTGGATTGAGACTAATTTGGTCAATTGAATTGAACACAAAAGATGCAATGGAGACGATAGATTTGTGATAATGGACTTTTGTGGAGTGATGACATTAGTCCAGGTTTAAGAGGATTTCTCTGTGAATGCCACAGGCAATGAAACTTGGCTGTGACTTTTTTCCCTGAGTGTTCTTACTAATGAGTTGGGAGTTCACACCTCTTTCCCATGAGCTTTCTGTGACAGCTTCTCAGGGGTTCCAGCCTCTCACCTCTGCCTTCAGTGCATGAACAGCAAGTGAAGAAGCTGTTGACTGCAACACCTCCTGACTCTGAATGATGCTAAGCCCAGACTGATGTCTTTCCCAAACTGGCCATGCAATGGAATAATCCATCCGCTGTCAGCAGAGACTGGGACGTAGCTCAGAATTAACTGGCTGAAGCTCAAGCTAGATAAGCTCAAGATAATATTTATAGGTCAGAGGAAACAATTGAAAGGAACATCAAGCTTGACACCAGCCTGCACAGCTGGTGGAATCTCTCTGCTCCTTATTTCAAAGCTCTGTCTGCTCTTGCAGGACAGGCCTGGTGGAGAGCAGTTCCCACAAACATTCACTTTGGATGCCACTCGCCTCCAGCCCTGTCCAAGTTCAGACTCCTCGCTTAATCTGCTTTGTCCAAAGAGGTTTTGATTGCATGGATGCTTGGAAAATATCTGTTCTTTGTGGAAATACTTGCCCCTGCATCCTAGGGAAGAGGATTGTGCATAAATGTCATTGCTGATGGTGATGTTGATGTCTGTCTACACTTCTATCTGTCTGCACAGATAAACCACAATCTGTCTTTCCCTCATGTGAAAAGAGCTGTGGGTTGAGGGCTCACCACTGCAAGTCATGAGCACAGAGAGCTGATATTTGCACTGTAGAAGGGTGTTACTTTTAGCAGTACACTTCTTTTTCACAAGGTAACTTGTATAGATGTACATTGATGTTGTTTGTTCAGTATGCCCAACCTCCAGCAGACATCTAAGGCATCTTCCCCAGGTGCCCTGAGCTGAAATGAGCCTGCATTTTGTGGTTTGATTAACCCTTTCTCTTTCCTGCCAAAGAAATCTGTAGCAGAGTTGTTGATAGGACACTATTGTATTGCAATGTATGTGAAAGCACTCTCTGCTACACTAGCACACTTCTCTGAGATGCTGAGAAGCCCATTACCAGAGATCATCCTTTAGGGATTCTACATCCAGCAAAAATAGCTCAGTTTGTGGATTACTCTGTATTTTGATGTTTAGGCATTGCAAAACAGAATTTTCTTTAGTAATCCACAACTGTCAGATGGAGACTCTGCTGTTCCACTGGCCCAAATCAGTGTCAAAGGTATTTCACAAGGCAGGACACATAGGAAAAAAAAAAAAAAAATCAGCAGCAATATGCTTATAACCCCTCTGGGTCCAAATCCTATTTAGAAATGGTGAATACATGCAAATTTTGAGCCAGTTTTATGAATTATTCAAAACAGAAAATAGATTCAGAGTTGCATTTGTACAATGAGAAAACACAGATGAGAGATGGTTTCACATGTCCAATCAAAAACCGACCATTGCAGCTTGAATTTTGAATACTGATACCAAACCACTAATGAATAATTTGCAGATCAGGAATTTTTAAGTGAATAATTTTAAACAAATAAATTTGAGAAAATCAGACAAGTGGTTCATCTGCTTCTTTTGGAGCAGCTAATTCACCCATTCACTGCCTTCTGCAGCTCAGTTGCAGTGATTTGGTTCTCAAAGCACCAAAAAGAAAATGTAAATTGAAATAAAAAGTGTGCTGGAAAAATTATAGGATATTACTCTGCCAATTCAGAGTGGCAGGGTTAGCAATAGGGTAGGAGAAAAGCATCTGTTAAACCTGCTAAAAATATAGCACCGGGTTCTCATAATCTGCACTGGGGAAATATTTTCAAGGAAAGAATAGTGCAGGGGGAAAAGATTTTTACACTGAGAACCCTAAAGAGCAAGTGATGGCCTAGAGTCAATCAACAACCAAAACTCCAGGGTGGAACAACTTTTTGGTTGGACTGGGAGCTTGCAAAATGAACATTTAAATGTGGGTGGAACATTTAAATGTGGGTTGAGAAAATAAAACTTTTTGGGTCCCTAAGAAGGCTCTGGGTTTATTTTCTGGGGACAAGGAAAGTCCCAGGGCCAGTGTCCCCCCTGTTTTATGCTATAGGATGTGTGACAGGATGGTGAAGCCCCTTTCCCAGGCCATCTGTGGCTGCTTCTCCAATCTGTCATTATAAACTCCACCATTAAAAGGCAAACATGCACCTAATTTACATTTGGACCTTGTGTTCTTATCTGGCTCCTGTTCCAAGGGGGGGTTTGCACATAGAGGACAGAATTTAGCTTAGTTTGTGGTTTACTCTCTTTGATGTTAATGAGATGTTATTCTACAGGTGTGTGACTAATTTCAAACTGCAACAGAGTTCCAAACTGCCTCAGTGAATTGATCCTGCACAGGGTTGCTCCCATCAGGAACCCTCTACCTATGGTTGTGCCAATATTCATCCCCCACACAGCCCTTCTAGTCTTCAGAAGCTCACTGGACGACAAATTCCTGGAAGCCCATCCAGTAGTTTCGGTGAGTCCCATTAGTCCCATTTTGGAGATGGAGAAACAAGAAAAGAAAAGCTATGTCGCCTAAATCACAGTAAGACCAGTTTTCAGAGCTGGGCTATAACTTAGGAACAGGTAGATTCCAATTTTGTGGTTAAATAATTAAACCAGGCCTTCCTCTTCTGCTGGAGCTAATCTGAGAAAAATGAGTGCCTTTCCTTTAAAAGGTTTCTAAGCATATATGCAAAGAAGAATTTATGACACACAATTTATGTAAAGAATTTCCTTTTCATAAATCAATTTATTAAAGCTCTGGAGAAGCTTCCAAAGGCTCTGATCCAGCAGTGCACTTAAACATGACCATAACTTCAAACAAGCAAATTGTCCCATTGAAGTGCTCTCCTGGGCTGGGGCCAAAGAAAGTGCAGTTCTTCCCTGGAGTCAAGGTTCAGATGTAAAATGGGGAAAAATAATTCCTCTGAAGTTTAATAAATTACATAATCATGGCAAAGCTCTGCCAGCCTCCCACATTAATACTTCAAGGTAATAAGAAGTGGCCTCAGGGAGATTATTGCCTCCTCATTGATATACTGAGAAGAAACGTTAGACTTCATCTGGAGGACGTGGTGCCGCCGACTTTTCCAAGATTTGGCAGATCCCACATCAATTCAAAGTGAATCTTTGAAGGATCCAAATCTGGTACTAGCAACACTCCTGGGGCATGAGAATCCTTTTGTTCAGACTTCTAAGGATTATCCTGAAATCAGTAGAAGTAAGCACGGCAGTATTTCAAGGATTTGGATTATTTTGCAACGTTTTGAAGTAGTGAAGACACTTTGCCAAGAGGACTTTTCACACCTTCTCCTGGACTCCTGCACTGGTAAATATTTGGGAGCCAGAACTGAACATACTGTTACACACTGCTGGCAGCCTGTCTGAGCAGCCCCGCCAAGGACAGCTCCTCTAATCTGCTGAAAACTGGTGCGCCCAGGTCATGTGCAGAGCAGGCTGAGGTAGCTGGACCTTGTGCTAGCTGGGAGGGTGGAATGTGGGAATCTTTAAATGTCATTTAATGTGGCAAAAAATGGTGCAATTAATCCCTAAAAGTAAGCTCACCTCTCCACAGCAAAAAAGATCCTTTAAGCAAGTAATAAACAGATATACTGTAGTAAAGCTATGAAACACAAGGTAGTTAATAAATGACATTGTTACAGAAGTTTTTTTTCAGTTGTACCAAGAGGGGAAACTGTGGGAATCCTTAAAATCAGAGGGTTTTGGGAAAGCTGCAAAAGGCAGGCCTAAGAAACAGCAGAACTGCAATTAGAGCTATAAAAGTTATGTGAGAAGTAGAAAGTAAGGACAAATAGAACAATGGTCTGTGTATTAAAGCTTGGCTAGAATAACTTCCTTAAACTACAGAAAAATATGTCTAGCAAGATATTAGGAAGTTCTAAGCTTAACAATGGAGCTCTGTGCATTGTGTTTTAATGCTTACAAGCAGGTAATAAGCAAGCATTGTTTTAACCAAAGGTGCATGTGCTTATAGTGGTTGGATAGAACTACTGTCAATATGCTTTTGCTTTGTGCGATTGGTCAAAAAACTTTTAAAGTGGGTTGTAACATTAAGTTTTTTGTCTGCTGCCAGGGATGTGAGCTGCTGGCATCTTCCCATTATCATAACCATGTAATGAGACTGATGGTGGAAAACAAAGAGCAGTTCCTCAGCAGTGCCAACCCATTCATGATTTTGCACATAAACCCATGGCCAGCAATAGAATGAGATGTTAAATGCTGAAGGAAAGGGAGAATTCCAGCGGATGGGAAGGGGATGTGCCTCAGATTAGCAGGGTGACACATCCACGTCACCGCTGACTGCGTTCGTGTTTGCTTTGGGTCCTGGGGATGCTCAGTTACACATCCAAACCTCCTCTGGGCTCTGCCTAGGGTTGATGCTCAGAATCAGAGTGACAGCTGTCATTTCACAGATGCAAAGCTGCCAAGCTTAATGGCCCTTTCCCACCCACTGCAAAATCCAACACGAGAAACGTTGCAGTTCCAAAATGATACTCACATCTACAATCAGGAAGTCCAGCCAGCACCAGGCGTTGGTGAAGTACTTCTTGAAGCCATAAGCCACCCACTTCAGGAGCATCTCCAGGACGAAGATGTAAGTGAATACTTTGTCAGCATATTCCAGCATGGTTTTTATGTTTTTTCGATCTTCAAGGTAAATATCTTCAAAGGCCTGGAAGTACAAAGGATTGGTTAATAACTGCTCCTGAGCCCTGTTGGAAAGCATGGGTGTTGCACTGCAGGTCTGTATTTGATAAATTATCACGTACAGGCTGTGATTTCTGATGTATTTTAACATTACAATTAAAGTGTTCAGCACAAACAGGACTGACCCTGGCCTGAGAGATCTGTTCAGCTTTCCCTTACAATGGACACAGGCTTGCCTATCTCTCTCCAGCCTCTACTGGCTGTAATGGCTGGACAACCTTTTAGTGTAGGAAGAGCTTCTGCACCCTGAATTTGGAATGTGAACCCATGAGCAGAGTGCTACCCCAAAATGCCCAGATTTATCCTGCCTCATCTCCTGTTGTCTGTGCCAATGCTACCCAGAGACCTCAGATGTCCCAGGCCACAGGATGTCTATATTTAGGAGGCAGAATATGACCCTTGCATTTAGCCAAATAGATCTTATTGCTAATGATGACAAATTGGGTTATTAACCTGCTTGTGTTATGGAGCACTGGAGTTCCCTGGCTTCTGTTCAGCCATCACATTTCAGGTGGCTACAGCTCTCTGCCTCAAGAAATGCTCATTATTATTCACTTAGCAGAACAATAATGTTTTAAAGGTCAAGGTATCTATCTCCCCATCTCATCTCTCTCTCCAACTAATCTCATGCAGCGCATTATAAAAAGAGTTTCAGTGTCTGTATCAAATACGAGCGAGCAACTGAATAACCCCTTTAAAATATTTAAGATCTAAACCAATATGCCTCCCAAAAGAAAGAAAATAAAGATGTCTCATAATTTAGCCTTCACTTTATAACATAAGTCAAATAAAAGGCAGGGTCCTGGTGTCAGATTTGCCAATATGCAGCCTGGGCTTCTGAGTCAAATTATGGTCTGCTTCCCCAGCTACTTTTGCCACTGCTGTTACACAAGCTGCTCCCAAGTCCCTGTAACCTGGATAACCCAAGCTGTGACATATTACTCTCATCCCATCGTGTGACCCAGAGCACTTGGCAGCAAGAAACATAATTTGAGAGGGTCTGTGCTAATCATCTGAATTATCTGCATTTACATATTTCCAGATCTGTAGCTACTTTCTGAGAAGCTTCAAAAAGTTAGCAAACACCCAGTGCCTGGAGATACAAGAAGTGTGGTACTTGTCACTCAGGCAGTCACACTGCTCTTTTGCCTGCCAGGGAACAGTAATTAAACTGACAAGAAAGCTTTGGTAGCCCCTGCCAAAGCTTGTCCATTTGTCCCCACACTTTGGGGTGACGTTTTCGCTGCAACCCTGTCTCCTATCTTGCCTTCAAAAATGATATTTCAAGGGTGTGAAAGAGCTGTTGGAGAAAGCCTGAAAACAATGCACAGATTGGAGTTTATCACTTCTCGTAGGGGCTCACTCACTTTGTCAGATGACTTGCTGTACTTTGCAATTACTGCAAAAATAACAACAAACCATTTAAAGTGATTTCCTCCTCTCCCTCCTTTGTTCTCCCTACTTTCTACTAACTTGTCCAAAAGTACATTGTGTTTTGTCTACTAAAAGCACACTGTCAGTCAGGAAGCAGCTTATTAAGGGATGAAAAATGTGCTACCTGGACACTTCTGTACTTCTGGACAAGCTATGGATATTACCCAAATGACAAAATTCTGGCGCTTTGCATTTTTTCACTGTGACAATGGATGAAACCTCTGCCATATAAAATATCAAGAAGAGGTTTTTTTCTGCTTTGCTTTGTGTGTTAAAAAAGATTTAAGCAGGATACCTCCAGTGTTATCAAAAATTACTATTAAAAAGTAGGCTTCTAGTTTGGGTGCTTATGGCTTAAAATCTTAAGAAAGGTTTTTGGATCTTCTGCAGTAAGCTGAAGATATATTTTGATGGTTTAACCACACATATATATATATATATATATATATAGGCTTAAAGATATATAGCTCTTCTCCCTTAAGAACTTAGGGTGTCCCAGAGATGCAGCCAGATGAGCTCAGTTTTTGGAAGAGAACCACCCAGAACACCAGGAAAAAAATTTTGTGTGTTGCCTCCAATATCTCCAGTCCAAATACTGAAGCACGGTGCTGATATGTGAGAAAATGCAGGATAATTTGCCCTTATACAGAACTGCATTGGCTAAATTGAAAGCTGCAAAAACCAAATGAATGCATGCAATTTAAATTAAATGAGCTTTATATTGCAGTCTTCAGTTATCTAAGGCACTTTTAATTACATATGTAAGGAAGTGTGTTCATCTAAAGCATATTATAGCAAGTGACATTCCCCCTCCTAAAATGTATTCAAAAATTAACATTCTGATGCTCAAGCTGGTGCAAAAACTGTCAGAGTCCATTCATTTCAGCAAAGCTGTGACCATTTTCAGAAGCCTACTATTTACTCAAGTTTTTCAGCCTCTTATTTTTCATAATAAAATAAAACCCCCTGGGTGACATTTCAGCCCATTTGTGGTGGACCAGGAGAACAGTCCATTTCTTTCCTTTTTTGCATCAACATTTATGCATTTCTACCTTCATCTCTCCCTTTGGAGACTTTCTCTGAGCTACATAAACTCAGCACTTCTGTGTTTTTTCCTCTTTTTTTAGGCCACTGATAATTTGTGCTGCTCTTCTCTGGAGTTTCTTCAATTAGCCCATGTCTTTCCCAAAGTGCAGTGCCCAGAGCTGAAGCCAGTGCCCCAGCTGAGGCCTCCTTGATGCCAACTGGAGTGGAAGGACAGGATAATTTATACAGCCCAGTGGGGTGGTGGGCTTTTGTGCAGGGCTGTGATGGAGCTTATTCTGTTTGTTGCCTGCTCCCTCTCCAGTTTTGTTTAGTAAATCTGCTCCCTTACAGCCATCCTTCATCTCACCTTTCTGCCTGTGATTATTCCCGGTGAGGGGAAGCAGGCATCTTTCTAAGATGATGTTTGCCTTACTGCTTAAGGCAGATTCACCCGTTTGGTTGGAGTCAATCCTGACCTCTGGAAATGCATGGATGACCTGTCCAAACATGGCACTTTCTGCAAATTTAATAAGTGTGTGTCTTATTCCATCACAAAGGAGATGACCGGTGACCACCAGACTAAAGCCTGGAGAACTCTCCATAGACATCTCTGCTCTAGGTCAGGGCAAAAACCTGGGAGAAATCCCACCAATTCCAGGGACATTCCTGACATGCAAAAGAGAAATGCAAATACATCTTTTTGAAGAGCCCAGGACTGAAAATACACAGAGGATAATTCCAGAATGCAGTGGGATTTCAGGAGGAGAGGATCCCCCATCAGAGTCCTGGACAATGACCAACCAGTGTCCATAGACACACCTGGGCACAAGCAGGACCTGTGCAGGGAAGGTACTGAGTGTTAGCCTAAGGTGCATTCAAAACAGGAATACAGGCACTCACTACCTCCATGGATAGCACTGATTCACTGCCCTCCATGTCTTTTACAATTTTGATTTGCTGGTTACAGAATGTGCTAAAAAAAAAAAAAAAGAGAGAGAGAAGAAAAGGAGAAAACAAAGCCACCCCTGAAGCAAAATGCAAGCCTCCAGATGGGAACTCTCAAGGAGAAACAGCTATGGGATGTTGAAGCAGCAGAGCTGGCAAACTTCCTCACACAGACTTCCTCAAGGATTTTCTTTTCAAAACATATGCAAGTCAGAATTTTATGTCACAGCAGAAGAAAATTCCCCACCATATGGTAGTGGCAGGTGAAATTGGAAAAGCTGACAACCTGTTTTAGCCCCAGAGAAAATGCTTTGCTTTGAGAAATGACCACTAAGGGTTCGTAGGATCTTAGAGACAGCTAAACTGGAGAACACTGGAGACCCATGCCCACTTTTAAACAGTTAGGAAATGCTGTCACATTTACCAGGGCTCCACTGCTCAGCAGGATCATGAAGATGATGAATGTTTCAAACCAGTTGTGCTCCACGATTCTGTAACATGTCTTTCGCAGCCTCCACCAAATTTTGCCTGGAAATTTTGTGATGTCCACGGAACAGCATGGGAAGAATCGCACACAGACTGTAAGAAATTAAACAAAAACAAAATAATTGTTTAAAAAAGCCGATTTAATTCTTAAAGCTGCAATAAGAAGCTGCAAAGGAAAATTTCTTTTAGCAATAAACTGCCGCACAGTGTCTTTCTTTCCTCTTGCTTCTCACAAAACCTCTCTGCTCTGCCTTCCATTTCCCTCTCTCACTCCCCCATTAAAAAACATTCAAAATCACTTAAAATGTGTCCCCGGGAGTTCTCCCAATGATTTTTGTGATAGAGAATATATTGGCCATGAGTCACCAGTGCCCTAGGTCATTCAAAAAGTGTTAACTGAGCTCAGGCAGCACTTCTGATCAGGACTAATAACTCTGGGAGGTTATTAGTAATAGCTTCCACATCCTTTTCAATGGAGGAAGGTTATTTTCTTGCTAGTATAATACCACTGGAATTACTGATTAAAAGTGGCAATCTGATGAAAGAGAGATGATGAGAGGAGGTGCTACAGTGCAGATGGGACCAATGTGCTGAAGAGATTCAGGCAGCAAAAGCAGGAGCAGATTTTGATCTCTTGGACTCTCATTAGCTTAAATAAGGTATTAGAACAATCTTGGAATTATACTGAGGCAGTTAAATCCCCTTTGATGTCACAGAAATTTAGATATCTGCTCCATAGCAGGATCCCCAGTGATGCTTTGTAGCACTTTCTGACCTCAGTGACAAATAGTGTGTGATAGCTAAGTGCTGTGCTGGTAATGGGGCCCACATAAGGATTTCTGATAGGCAAGACCATGGCATTTTTAGTTTCCTTAGCAACACTCATTTGTTGTAGCAAAAAGATATTGTCATTGGTAACAGACAGATCCATCTCTCCCACTTCAAAAACACCATGTGCATTTCCTTGTGCTGGGCAAGAACTTAAAATGGTGTGAGAGGACCCTGGGAGCTAGGAATTGTCCTGGCCAGTCAGTCTTAATGTCGGATAATCTGACTCAAATGTCACATTTGCTGATGAGAATGACCTTCAAAAACTATTTTATTTTCAAAGAGCAAGCTTCTTACCCTACATTTACTCCATGTGTTGTACAGGAAGAGACTTAACTATGCAGGTTTATCAGCCTCATCATGAGAAAAAAAGCCATAGGCCAACTGCTTCTGTAGCTGGAAGGTGGCCAAGGTCACCAACGCATCTTGAAACACACAGCCAGTGGCCAGAAATGACAAGGGAGGGTGGATATCTTACCATGGCCATGCAATGAAATGTTTTTGAGAGTAGAAATAATATTTAGGGGAGCCAGCTTGGGGAGGAAAGAGGGCGAGTGCCAAGGTTACAGACAGAGCAGATGCTGCTATTTCAAGGTGGCACAACTGAGGTGCCTGAGCTGCCTGTGATATGGAAGGAGATCAAGTGCAGCTCCTGGGATGTCAGGATTCCCAAGCAGCTGGAAGTGGGGCTGTGCTGGCACAGGGCTCTGCCAGGAGGAAGAGAGCTGCTAAGTCTGCTGTGGTGCTCCTGGCATTTTCTATGAGTTTTTATTATCCTAGATCCCTCCTATGCAGCAGCAGAACATAGAGGAACAACCCCCAGAACTTTTCCCCTCACATTTCAGAGATTTTGGTTAGGTGTGGGCTCTTGGCTGTGCTAGGTTTTGGTGAGGGACTAAAAGGACAGTAAACCTTTAAGGACAGTAAACCTAAAAGGACAATAAAAAATTTATGTAAAGGTAATCACAGCACACAACTACTTGTTCTCTAAATGCCTGCATCACACAGACCCACAGCATCTCCCAGTTTACCACTGTATTCTGAAACTCAGAGAAATTCTGGGCTCAGTTGAAATACACTAAATTGTCCAAACTTTTTAGAAAGGCATAATACTGGGAGAAGATGGAAATGTAAGAACCAGCTCTCTATCCCTTTGTAGGTCAGGTACCACTTCAGCAAAGGCAAGAATTATCCTTCTAAGCACTTCAATCCCAAACACTAAAGAATCAAGGCAAGCGGTAAAAGGACATCATATTAGTCACTACTTTTTGTTAAAACCTGTACAATGCTCACAGCTGGCAGTGCATGTGGGTTTGGGTGTATTTTAGGAAGTAGGTACACAGAACAGACTTCACAAAGCAGATTCTCTGCTGAGAGAGGCCCATCAGGAGAATCCCACCAGCACAACATGACCGAGGGCACTACCAGCTGCATCTCAGCAGTGCTGCCAAAAAACTCTTCAGCTGCTTCTCACCCCACAGCCCACATGGTCATCACCACCTTTCAGGTGTCTGGCTCACTCTCTGGGCTTATAATTCAGAGAGACTGCCCACCTCATTGTCACCCCAGCTTTGAATCAGGAGGATCAAAGGCTTGGGCTGAAATCTCTCACTTATCAAATGAACAGCTTAATGAGCAGGTTGTTCACTCTGTAAGTGTGGATTTTTTGTGTTAAGCAGAAATCCCCCTTTGTACTGGAAGTAGCCACTGCTTGCACCCATCCTTGCATCTATCTCCTTTGCAAAACTAATTTCAGTTTGGAAAAAAAAAATCAGCTTTTTTTCTTACTTAAAACATTTATACAGAAACATTTCACTCTTTTCTCATAAGTTTCTACCTAGATGGTTATTTGACTTTTTTATCTCTTAGAGAAATGCTTAGGCCCAGCCAGTAACAGGCATGACATGCTCTGCCATGCTCCTACAGAGTATAAATGCTCTGTAAATACTGTTGGAAAAGGTTAGAATCTCCCAGGAAGTGGTTTTCCCCACTGTAAGAAAATTGGATGAATCATTCCCTGGAGGAGTCCCACTACACAGGGAGCCTACATGATTACCTGAGCCCAGGAACAGCTAAAATTAGGGATCACCTTCATATTAGAAACTAATGAGCAGGGCACTGTGGGTTCCAAAGTCACTTCATTTGTGATGGGAAATACTTACAACACAGTTAAACCAGATTATTACTGATTCAGTTGGCTTCCATCTGATAGTCTACAAGTACAGAGAGGTATTTTTAAAGACAGAAAGCCAGGTAGCACCACTAATTTTTTTTTTCTTTAAATGCTCTTTGATTGCTTTCATGCAATTTCAGTCTGAAAAAAGAGTCCTAGTTACTGACAGTAATACCTTGAAAAATCCAAAATAGCTTTTCAGATGAGTCAGCCTAAAATCACAGTACTATTAAATCCCATGCTTTTGATTGGGCCCAATTCAGAAATGTTTAGACCAGATTCTGCTACAATTGCTATGTCAAGCATTACTTCCATGAATAATTGTGCTGTCTGCAATTCAGATGAAATGCTGCTTTTAACTATTCACAAAGAGAAAAAGGAAAGAAGAAAAAAAAAACCTGACCCCAAACAGGTCTTTTAATGAATTAGTAGAAACCTGTTTCTGTTTAAATTTTGTGATTTTCCTTCCTGGCTGTTCTTTCATGCCTTCTGGACTCTTTCTAATGCTGGTAGCCTACAGCTCTGGTCATCTTGACCTAAGCTTACATGTTGAGTTAGAAACTTCACTTAACCAAACAGAAAAAGTTTACTTGACCTTGGTCTGTAGTCTAACACTTTGTTGGGGCTTTTTTTCCCCCCCACATTTCTGTGAAATCAAAATATCAAAATAATTTTGATGCATATAAGGCATGACCTGGAGAGGGTCAGCTAACTCCAGCTGTTCCTATAATAAGGCAGGTGGTCAGCAAAGCCCAGCTTTGGTGCACTTTTATCCACACAAGGAGAACATTCATTAACACCTTTTATCACAGCAAGGCAGGAATAAAACCTCTGGCATTTCTCAATTCAGTTACTCATCTTGCCTGATCCAACAGATTTGTGCTATCCCACTGAAATTGGTGCTGGGAGGGAATTGGTTGTGCAGAAGGCTCTGACCACCTTGTGATTTTGCCAGGGCTTAGTTTTGCTATGTTAATTTGTGTTGGGCTGCATTGTTTTTGAGAGCAAACTGACTCATTTCCACCATGGTCTTTTGCTTGCTAGATTACTGCTCATCAGAACACAGAACAGTGGAAGAAGTCCCCCCAAAGGGTTGAATTATTTACTGATAAATCTGTGAAGCTGTTCTGAGCTGCATGTGTGGTCAAGTTGTCCATGAACAATGTCTGTTTTTAATTGACATTCGGATATTTCATACCATTTCTCATAAAACAGAGGTCTATTTACCCAGAAACCTTTCCACATGCACTAATACACCATGATATTGTTTACTTTTCGGTCATATTTCATTACAGGAGAAATAGTCCCTTCAGTCATTAAGGGTGTCCTGTAGCACAAATTGAAGATTAAAATATATCTTAAAAAAAAAAAAAAAAAGAAGGAATTTAATATACAATGCATTCTGTGTAAATATCCCTTTTGTTCCATATTCACATTTTCTAGCCTGGTGCACTCTAATCATGGAGCTCTTAGATTTGATTGCATTACCTTGGTGCATTGGGAAAAAAAAAAATCTCATTGTAAATGTGGGAGTTATACTGCAAAACCTTCCTCCTCAATGCCTGACAGCCAAGCCTACAGATTTTAGGCTTATGGGCAAAGAATTTACAAATCCACTGCTTGTTCACACCAATATATATACTTAAGTTTTCATAAAATTATTATTTTTGCTTTGAATGGATTGGGCTGCTGTTTCTCTCAATAAACCAGGAACACCAATTATTTTTTTCCATTCTGTTGTCCAGCAAATGTGGTACCTTGTGTTCAAACCACAGCAATTTTGTGAGTGCCTTTACACAAGAGTTCTCAATTATTGGGACATTCATTTTTAGAACAAAACAGTATTTTTCTTAGCTTTGAACACTGGTTACAGCATTGCTTGGTTTGACACAAAATACAGCTTCCTAAGCATGAACTCAAGCAGACAGGTATTCATAGCATGGGTTTTATATATATATAAATATATATTTATATATATATGCCAAGCTGGGTTTCTAATGACCAGTCTGGCTACCTGGGTATGCACAAGTAAGGGAGCAAACCCAACTGTACCCTCTTTGAAAGTCCCCGACTCTCTCCCCATGCTGGAGGGATCATGATCTCAGCAGACTCCTCTTATTTAACCCTTTCCTCATCTTCTGGCCCTGCCACTAACTCACTCAGAGGGGTTGGAATGGGATGACCTTTAAGGTCCCTTGCAACTTGAAGCATTCCATGATTCTGTGACTGCACAGCTGGGTTTTATATTGTGAAAGATTTATGATCACTGTCTCCAATGTTTGGGTACCTGAGACCCATCAGGAGATCTGAGATTTTACTTGTGTGCTACAACTGGGGACTGCCAAGAGGTGTTTTTACCCTTCCAAGGGCTTAACAAGGGTACATTGTTTATCTGCTGCTACTCTCCTCAAAACACATCATCAAGGAGTGTGACGCCTTGGAGCAAAGGCAGTGGGCAGCCTGGCCTACCACCGATGTCATCTGTGCTTTGAGTGAGGGGGTGGATGAGTGTTAAATCTAGAGGCCCTGTCCAACCTGTGTTAATTTCATTCTGAATGCATAATAGGGCTGCAAGAGTCTTATGATGCCTGAACATTGTATACAACATAATGCCAGCACACTGTTCCTTGTGGAAAAACACAGAGCATCTCAGGTATGACAGCCAGAGAAAAGTGATACTTTAAAACTTGGGTTTGCTCCATGATTTTTTCCTAGGATGCCAATGAGCACATTTTGTGGAGTTTGGCTTGGTTTCACTCAGCCTTTAAAACTCATCTAGTGGCAGTCCCTGTAACTCTGTTCAGACTTTTTCCGTTTAATGGTCTGTTTTTTTCTTCTCTTCCCTTTCTTGCTTCTTAACAGCCGCTATCCGCGGTTGGGAAGGGCAGGACACAGATCCCACCACTAATCAGAGCAACTTCACTCGGGCACATGGCATTTTCCAGCTGACATTTGGGCATTTCAGGAGCGATAATGGCTCCTACCACGGTCACATGGAAAGATGGTTCCAGGCGTCCTCGGTGTCACGAGCTGCGACCAACCACGCGCTGAGCGAGGCTGCTCATTCCCTCATGACCCTCTGGTGATATTCCCTGGAAACCTCTGCCAGCGGGCTGTGTCCGGGGAATTACGCCTAAGGACTGGGTGGAATCTTTCTCCTATTAGGGTCTGGGAGAGAGGAGCGTGCTGTGGGCCGAGGGCTCTCTTTGGATGACCTTCTGTGAGACACAGAAGATAATGTCCAAAGAGGGAGTAAATTTTGGTGCAGAGAACACATACCGATGGAGGTAACAGGACTGGAGTGTTGCAAGGCATCTGGAGGAAAAAGTACCCAAATAGCTGGCATTGGATAAATGTTCCTTTCCCATCAACCAGAAATGGTCTCTCCATTTCTATCAGGTTCTTCCCAGCAATACTTGCTCGCTGCCAGGGCTGTGACCCTACCTTGCCTTCACTTTTCCTGACCTGAGAATGTTCCCTGTTGACCCTAATCAAAGCTATTTTGAGGTGATAACACATTAACAAGTCTCCCCAAGAAAAACGACCTATGGCTTATCTGGGTCACCCAACTCCCGGAAAACTGTGACCTCAGCAAACTTTCAGCAACTATTTCAAGAACATGCATTATCTTTGTTGCCTTTGTTATCTGAAAAAAAGGGGCCTGAATCTGGAACATATTTGTTCAGGACATAACCTATGCTGGATGCATTGAGAAATGTCATAGTTTGAATTTAGATAGCTAAAGAAGTTAAGAAATTAACCCTTCCCCTCTCCCTCTTCTTTTTCACATAATCTCCTTTTTTCAAAAATATTAACTCTCATACTCCCAAACATGACAAATATTGTTGTATCTCTTTATAAAAAGTCAGTAAAGACAGCAGTAGATAAACCTGCCCAGTGCATGCCCTTCAATATTTTCATTTTAGCAGTTTAAAGCCTTGCCATCTCAGCTAATTACTGCTGTTTATTGGCTTACTTGGTTTTAAACTAGACTGAAGTGACAGCTGCATGAGGTTTAATTGCAATAGTAAGTTTGGGCAAAAATATTGGAAATATTTAATAGCAGTTTATTACAGGAAACACTTTGTTTCCCTGCATAAATTAAACCTAATGTTAATGTCGCTGCTGTTAACAATCATTTGGACTTTCAGTTTATGGCAATTTGGCTTGAAATTTTATGAGTGAATAATCACGTTGTGTTTGTGCATTTTTGCCAAATCCACGAGCAATGTGATCACATTTAGCCAAAAAAGTAAAGCCTGAAAAATGTGCATGGATAACATGTGCTGCACAGGAAAGGAGAGCAGATGTGTTGAGGAGGATGTCACCTGCATCTGCAGGTGTCCCTGGACAGGAGAGCAGGTTTTCCTTCAATTCCCATTTAGAGCTCAAGGCTCAGCTGGCTGTATCCTGGGACAAGAGAAAAACACCTTGACTTGCACAGGCACTGGTGAGGAACTAAGAGAGATTAGGAGCAAAAACAAAATGCAGGACCAGGGGTGCTCAGGAGGAAGGGTGCAGGAGCCAGAACCTAGGGGGAAGTAACCCAAGGCAAGCTTGGGGTTCAGCCCACAGTGACCTCGTTTCTGCACTTCTCTGCTGCCAGGATGATCAGCAGGCTTCAAAGCTGGTTAAATACTTCAAAGCTGGTTAAATACTTCCAGTGATCTATCTAGAAGAGCCCTGCTTGCTACCCTGCATCCCACAGACAGCACTGAGGAAGATCTGACAAACTGGGTTGGTTCCATTGTGATTCTGCACTGAGGAATTTCAGGTAGGTCTGGTTATGTTAAGAGAGATCAAATTACAGAGTGCTGCTGCTCTGGGAACGTGTTGTGTGGTGTCTGCCTCGTTTGTTTTAAAAAAGTGGTCGTGGCCAACCAGAGTTTCAGAAGTTGTAAACTGGCATCTGAACAGCACTGATCTCACAGCACTGGCTTGTTTAAGCATCTCTAACATAATCACTTTGCAGAGCACAACAGAGATTGCTGCTCACTAGCCCCATTTAGAAATATATTGTGAAAGAATGAAAACACCAGATCTAATTTCGAAATGTTATTGCATGGGCCTGAATAGTTACACCACGCTTTCTTCCGTCAGCTGCATTAATTTTTGGCTACTGCTTTTAAGCAGAGCTGCCAAAAAAATGTTTAGATCCTAGGGACATTTGTAAGCCCTGCAGGGCTCCCTTACCTCATTCAATCATCTTTCTCACAGATATAGAGATGCACATTTTTGCTGACTTCAGGGGCATTCATATACCCAGCAAATCATCTCTGTCTGATCCCATCTGAGCTGCTCTGTTTTTGTTTATAATAATGCTTGAGTTTTCAAGGGACTATTCTTACATTCAGCTAACCCTGTTTTTCCCAACCCAGATTTATAGGAAAACAAAAAATTTGACTGAGATAATATTTGGAATGGAACTCACTCTGAGAAGAAATAACTTCATATGCTATTTACTTTATATATTTATTTTAACACAGATCTTCTAATATAGCTGGGTTTTACATCTGTGTTTTGGAGCAGGCTGGTGTTAAAATATTAATAAAATGATGGTGAATTTCAGTATTAAAAGAGATATGTAAATGTGGTCTGTTGTTATCTAATATAATTATGTCAAATGCCCTTTACATAGCAGTTCTCTGATTAGATGAAAGTTACTGGATGTGCTAATCTTGACACTCTTTAAAATAAATGGAAGACAGTCCCTGAGACCCATGAACCCTCCAGACAGATTCTATGAACTGCCTGGATACATTTAAGCAAGGGAAACGTCCTGATCTGGTCAGCTCTTTACCAAATTTGATCATGCACATATCTTGGAAGGCAAAAATCTCCATTGGCCAAATGACAAAAATCAGCATTTTAAAAACAAACAAAGAAACAAACAAACCACTCTTTATGGCACAAATTAAAATTTTAAAAGTCTAAGGCTTTAGAAGCTGTGGAGCATTTTAGAGCATGCTCTTGGCTTATCGCACCTTGGAAATCCAAAGACTAATGGTAACAAGGGATTTTGAGTGCGTGTTTGGAGCATTATAGTGCCTAAGAAACGAAGAGCATCCAGTGAAATACTATTTCAAACAACCAGAGCAATATGGTGAGAAGGTTGGGAGATGTTCAGTAAGAGAAAAGAAGGTTTCTTGCCCCAGCATTGCAGTGAAACATGCAGGCTCTTACCTTCAGGGAAGCAATCTTCAGGCTCCATCAGCTCCTCAGCAAACTCAGGGATCTGCTCCAGCAGTTCTGCAGGATTTGTCAAATCCACTGTGCTGCCTTCAGAAAGACTGATTTCATCAAGCTTGTTGTCAACAAGAGCAAAGATGTGGAAAACAAATTGATCAGTTGCCCTGCAGGAAGTAGCTGAGTTGTCATTCCACTAACCAGCACCCCAGCTGAAGCCACCACAAGAGACATTGCCATGCACTTCCCAAGGTGCCACTCCTTGGTGACAGCTCTGCCTACCCTGAGACCAGGGGCTGACCCATCAACAACAACTTAACACACAGAACTTACTTTTTGAGACAAAAGAGAATCAAACCACAGAAAGAGAGTGAACAGCCACTGAATGTTAATCACAGAATCTTAGAACGGTTTGGGTTGGAAGGGACCTTCAAGATCATCCAGTTCCAGCCCCCCTGCCATGGGCAGGGACACCTTCCACTAGACCAGGTTGCTCTGGTTAATGGTGGGTGGAGCCTTGGAATGATGGACTTCATCTGTTTGACATCCTGAAGGATCATACCTTTGGGTGGGGGTATCAAAGGTGGGACCTATCTCCTGAAGTGCTGAAGGATGCATTGGATGACCTGCCTTGGGTTCCTGTCTTTTGGGCCTCATTCCTGAGGCTCCTCACCCACAGCTGGTGGGTGAAAGCTGCACCTGCTCACTCAGGACCATGCTCTGCTCCTGCTGACAGCCTCTCCTCCAGCATCCAGCCACAGGAAGCTAAAGTACAAATATGTTGAGAGGGCTCTTCCTCCTGTCACATCCTGTGCCTAATTTGTTCTCAGCACATGACATAGCCCCTTGCCTTTCTGTCACACCATTCTGATCTCCAGGTGATGTAGGAGGAGGGGCACATGGCTTTTGGAAGTGTCTCAAGGGCTCTACCACTAGCCTGAAATATTTGACACCATCATCTTAGGTGCATTGTTTAAGTTCAGTGTTTCTCAGATCCTCCTCTGCAAAATGGGGCAAGAATATTCCCACTCCCTGAACACTGGTTGTCTCATCTATTTAGAGCAGGAACTCTCAAGCAGATCTGGGTTAAAAAAAATTCTGGGGAATATATTATTTTCAAAATCTGTTTTGAAGGCTGAACTCATGATTAAAAGACACATGATACACGACTCAGTAAGTCACCCAAATATGAAATAGAAATTTAATCTCAGGTTAAACTTTCCTTTAACAGAATCAAGACACTTTCTTTAGAAGAAAATAGGAAATGTCTCTCCCCTATTTTATTTTGCTAGCTAAAATAAAGGAATTCTATTTTGTACTAATCCAAAATTAAATTTTACTCTATTTCCTTTTAGATTTTACAAGCTAAATAACTTTGTCACTAAAGTGAAAGACCTGATAATTGCCCAGTCCTGCTCACAGTTTGTTTCTGGACGTATTAGAACATTATCTGGTGTAAGTGGGCAATACCAAAGCTGGTATCTTCTATGGGTCATGGCAATGACAAATAGCCCCAAGCAGGAGAGGTGTGTCATTTGTGAACTGGTTTACTCTGTTCCCTGAGTTCCCACTTAAAAGTCTTTGTGCTTTATCTTGCAATACTATTGCCTTCATTTTAAAAAATGAGGGCAATAATACTTACCCACGCTTTTAAACAGCCTGTGAGATAGTTATATGAGAGATGGCACGTACAGATAAAGTATTATTTTCATAAGCATGATGGTGATGGAGTAAGAGACTAAGCACAGCTTTATATATTTATTATTAATGTGAAAATGGGTCCTCTGTTTTCCAGCATACACAGTCAATGCAAAATTTATAGCTGAATTCAGAGAAATGCTGAACCTGGGGTAAAATGGGCAAGACTGAACATTCCAGCAGCGCTTGCAAGCGGGGGTGGAAGCTACTTGTTTGCAATTAGCTGCAGCATCCAGAAGGTCATAGTCTTGGCTAGGGTTTTTAGTGCTGTATGCAAAAGATCTGCAAACAATTGAGAAGAGACCTTTTAAAAAGAGAGAACAGAAAGAACAGAACAGGTCCGAGATGCAGATAAAGCTTCTGAAAAGCCATATTCAGAATGCAGCTGTCGTACAGAGCCCATTTCCTACAGACTCACAACAGTGTATGATGGTGGAAGAAAATGTCATACCAAATTCTAGCACAGTCAGAACTTTATGATGCTGTTCATTAGGGAATGCATTTAGTCATTATGTGTTCTGTTATGAAGATGTCAAAACAGAGATCACTGAAATAGACCTAAATAATATGCAGCTGTAAGATGTAGAAAATAGGGGTTCCAATGGGAAGAGAAGCTTTGTTGGGTATAATTCTTACCAACAGCCAGAAATCAAAGAAAACTGTGAGAGAAATGTCAGCTTGATAACATTTTCAACTAGAGAACTGGATTTAGCAGAGGCAGGTTAGGAAATTCACAGAACAAAACACAATGAAATTATCATAGACTATTTAGTTATTTATCAGGAGGAGTTTCCAGGAAATATTAGAATCCATCAGTGTCAAAGGGAGGTGGGGAACATGCAAGGCAAACAGACAAGTTTTCTTCTGAAAAGCCTTCAAAGAAGAAGAGGCAATGAACATGGATTCAGAAAACTGTAGATTAAGGTTTGAGGGTCTGAACAGGGACGGTTTTCTTCTGAAAAGACTTCAAAGAAGAAGAGGCAACATGGATTCAGAAAACTGTAGATTAAGGTTTGAGGGTCTGAACAGGGACTAGAAAATGAAACCAGATGTACGAGAGAGAAGGAAAAGATTAGGGATGATTCTGGGAAGGAAGCAAAGGTTACCCTTTGCCAGAAAGGTTAAAGGGATTAAAAAGGTTTTCATGAACTCAGGGAAGAGTCAGGGACACAAGAGCAATTGATGAGGGGAATGTAGCTAATCAAAATTCAGTTGTCTCAGAAAATAAACACTTCTTAAAATCATCCAACAAGGGGATCAATAAGAAGAAGGGGGAGAGCCTGTTAGAATTAATATAAATGTAAGTAGAGAAATAGCCAGAAAGCCTATATATACACATATACAAACCAGCAGATCCAGGCAAGGCACGCTGCAGAGCATAAAGGGATCCAATACACCCAGTTAACACATCGTTAGCAATCAATAGTGAATGCTCATGGAAAACTGGAAACGGCCCAGGAGAGCAGCAATAAGTAAACACAACACTGAGCTGAGAGAGGAGGAACAGGGAATAATCATGGGAATCACAGATCACTAAACACTTGCTGCAGCCTGTGATTAAAGTAAATTAAATAAAGACAGAGAGGAGAAAAGGAGAGAGCTTACTCAGAGTGAAATGTCATAGACATAAAGGCAGTGAGGTGGTTCTCCTGTGTGCTAAGAGAACTCTGCAGAAACAGGGTGAAAAGAGCTCAAAAGAAGGCAAAAAGGACAAATACAGAATCTCCTCCTTGTTTCATGGAATAGGTGAGTGGAGGAAGTGCGCCAGGCAGAGGAAAGGGATCTGTCAGAGACCCCTTTGGAAGATCTTCCCCTGGGGCATAAATTCATGCTGCAGAAGGCAGTTTTTGAAGTGTTTGTTGATGAAGTGACTGTTTTAAGTCACTGGACAGGGCTTCCACACCCACTGCTTGTGCCTGTAATAGCAGCAAATTGATCTGAAAGTGTTTTTCAAAAGGCCTTTAGCAGTGAGATGCTGAAATCTCATAGAAAGTTGATGTTTGCTCAAGGCTTAGCCCTCTTACCTCCCTACTTCTCTGCCTCACCTCTGAAAATCAGAGCCTTAATCTATCAAATTGACATATGAGATATAAACCTTAAGAAAACAGTTGGGTGTCTGTTATAGAAAAGCCTACTTTAAAAATAAACTGTAATTGGCTCAGGTTCACCTATTGCTGTGTGGAGAAAAGCCATTCTAGAGGACCCAAATATAGCACAAACTTTCTCTTCAGAGGAGGAAATCTGTGGGGATTAGGGTCAGCATTATCTTCACTAAAGATACAGAAGAGGTCCTGACCGATATAATCCTCATGTTAGCTGATAATATTAAATTGGAGAGAGAATTGAAATCGAGGAAGCAGAAGGGAAAAGAGAAGGGAAACACGGAGTGAATATAGCAAAATGGGACATGATTTTAAATAGCACAAATGGGCAAGATTCAGGAAAATATCAATGGACATTTTGGAAACCTGGAGTAATATTTAAAAAAATAGATGTGATTTTGCAGTGGGATATAATGATGTAGAAAACCATATGAAAGCATCATGTCTAGATAATGAAATATTATTTCTTCTTTTACAATTCTGTAGAAATTGTATTTGGAATATTGCACTTCCTCCTTGGCAAAAGAACTCGTAAAAGGAACAGTTGAGGGAGTTGCAAAGAAAGAGGTAAAAAAAGTCAGATAAATAGCTCAGAAGTATTAATTTACAAGAAATAATGGAATGAAAGAACAATGGTGCATGACTTCAGGGGGTAAACCCCAGGCAATAGGAAGCCAGCAACAGTCAATTAAAGTAAGTGATATTAATTAATACAAAGAGACTGATAGATAAAACTGGTAAAAGACTGTAATGAAATAGCACTTTAAAAGGGGAAAAAAAGGTGAGAAAAGGCTGGTATTTAAGGAAATATACCCAGGCATGAGATATTTCTTTTTAGCAAGTGAATTATTCCTTTTGGTAAATGAAGAAATCTAAGTTGCCTGATCCATTTAAAGCCAGATTCCACAAAGTTGTGTGAATATTTTATGGGTCAGCATTTTGGCAGAGAAAGCAACCAGTCTATACCCCGAAGTCTTCTCCACCCGTGACACCAATGATTTTGTTTCTACAGTGCCTTTCTGATGATTGATACAGAATGAATTTTTAATCATATAATGGACCCTTTACTGACACCAACAGTGTTTTACTCGGAACACATCCAGCGTTTCCTGTTACTGGCAATCACTGGAAGCCCTGCCTCTTGGCCATACCAAATCCGTCACTCCCTTGCGGTTTTTGGCTTTATTTGGCCAGTTGCAACTTCTTGGGACATTCATCAAAAATATGACGAGCGTGTCCTGGCGTGCTGGCACCAAGATCGCTTCTGCACAGGGGGACCTGTCATGTCCACACGAGATCTTCCAAAATAGCATCCTTTGGGATTTGCTCTTTTGCGTTGGCATTCATAGCCTCGCATGAACTTCCGTTTGATTTCAAGTCATCCCTGGATTATTGCCATGTTACTCCACCTCTTTCTAAGCAGCTGCAAATAGAATCAATTATACTCTGCTATAGAGAGGTGGCATTTGTGTCTCAGGACCCTTTGAAAGCTGAGGGAGGAAATGGGGATTATTTCTTTATCACGATGTTGCTGAATATATCGAGGTTAGAATGTTCCTGACTTATCATGACATTTTGTTAGAGAACTAAAAAAGGATATAGTTTTCTGGCCTCCCTGTTAGGATCACAGGGTCCATTTGTCTTGAAAAGATATTTAAACATGAAGGATACCTAATCCCCTGAGAGAAAAATGCCTGACATGGTCTTCTAATTCCTCCTGGTTATAATGCTTCTTTACATTGTTTGAAAGTTTTGTATTTCTTTGCTAAATGTACATACTTTTTTTTTCCCCCTGAGACAAAGATATCAAATATTTGAGTCTCCTTCCTCTAAATTCAGGATGTTTTCTTTCTGAATATGAATATGCCAAGAAGTACTCTGGCAAGGATTGCCCTTTAAAGAAATGTTTCATGGCTGGAGGATTTCTGGTTCCTGTGAGTGGAATTTATCTCACCTAAGTGTGCAACCTAAGTGTGCAACCTAAGTGCTCCCTTTATAGTTAATGGAGAGAAGTAGGCACTTTTATGAGATCTGACCTAATGTAAATGCTGATTTCAGCTGGAGACACATTTACCTGCCTACATTGTCTAAACAGAGGCCTCAGATGACAAGTCCAGATGCAGATTGTCTACATTTAGTTCATTAAATTCCACCCATATGCCAAAGTGGATCAGCGGACTTGGAGAAGGGGAGCCCTGGCTCTGGGATGGGTCTGTTTCCTGTTGTCCTGTCCTGTCAAGATTTCTTCATGGGATTGCTCCTGCTGGGCACAAACTTGCCAGCAGTTCTATAGCAGAACTGAGAAAGGTGTGATGTTTGTGAGTGCCGTGCCATCCTTTCCCTTTCATTAATTTTCATCCCACACAACAATCCCTGGTTCCAGTCTCAAGCAGCTGTGGAGTTCTCCAAACTCCCAGGACATTCCAAACCTCCATTCCCTGATTTCAAAGAGAGGAATCCATCACTCTCTAATAATAAAGGCAATGTTACATCAACAAAATTCTAAATCTGAAGGGGAAGAACCCCCAACAAGTCAGTAAGGAGGATACAGGCAATTACACAGCCTGGAGTCACTCAGTGTACAGTACAAACACATTATTTTTGATATTTATGGTTATAAGGACAACATCATCCTACAACTTGAAAATAAATGTCAATGTGCACACATCAAGAAACAATTAATGAGCTGCACTTTGGCCAAATCAACTAAACAGTACCAAGGCTTGCTCTTCAGTTAGTACCTTCACATCAGCTACTTAAATTGGTGCACCTTTGTTGGGAGTGTGTTAACAGGAAAAGAAATGTTAATCTGTGACAGAGAGCAGATGCCCTCCAGTGAACTCAATATTCAGGTCTGCCAAGTCAGCAGATGCCATTCCTAGAGCTGCTTTTCAGTGGGAAATCACACACAGATTTTCTCCTAAAATGAGACATTAACATTATGTATGATTTTGTGGTTGTTTGGGGTTTTTTCCCCCCAAAAGCCTCTTACAATTCCATCTTAATTTATAATGCACATTTTCCAAGCTTTCCAATTATTTTTATAACAATAAAATCCTCTCTCTTCTTTACTGAGACTGTAATACCTATTACACACTATTGCTTTCCTACCCCTTGACAAACACGTATTTTTACAATCCATAAACCCCACATAAACCAGTGGCATGCACTACAGAGCTGGTGCAATGAATTTCATGCAGTATCAGGTAGGAAAGTTGTTTGTGTTACCTCTTTTTGCCCTACTGGAGGTGGTGGCTCAGCCTTCAACTGCTTATCCACGTGTAACTCACTTAACTCTTCATAAATCTCAGAGTTCTGACTCCGGACGCCTGGGCTTTGGCATCGCTGCCCCCTCAGCTGCAGCTGCTTTTCCTGCTGGAAATAATCCTAGATGGGTTTATTTCCTTTTTCTTTGATAGCATGCTTATTTCTTAAGGAGAACTCTCCAGCTAGAAGAGAAAACAGCCTGGACTATTCTCATCAGGGGACAACATCTTAAAGAAAATGGCAAGAAATGACATAACATACATTTATGTTGCAAATTTTGAGCTTTAGCAACTTGGATATGCTAAGATATCTGGGTGTAGAAAATGGACTACAAATAGACCAACTTTTTTTTCTGAGCTTTTGTTGCCGAGGTGGGAAGAAATTCCCTTGCCATCTCCATTTTGAGCCTGGTTTTGAGACATATACTTCCTCCAGTGACCTGAGACGCAGAGAGAGGTGGCTGCCAAATAACCAAGGAGTGTACTCGGAAAATTCACAATCAGGTGGTGACACTCAGTGTAAAAGCTGGAGAAATTTACACAAAGGGCAAAACCCAATATTGTTCTATGAGTCTGCTTGAAACAGTGTGAAAAATCCCCTCGCCCAGAGAAGAAAAGACACATATTGCAGAAGAAGAAAATGCAAAGTTCACTGGAAAAAATAAAAGATATCTGAAAATAGATATGGAAAAGCTGCAGGTAAACACGCAAATGCATGAGGCTTCTATTCAGCAAAACACTTAAGGCTACTTTGCACCCACTGAAGCACACAGGGCTCAACCACAGGCTGAAAGGAGAGCACATCTGAAGCACTTCCCTGAAAGGGGATGGACTCTGGAAGCACAGCAATAATTTTTTCTCTCGGTAAACACATTTGACTAGACCTTGTGCTCGCTCGTATGCGTGGTGCCATTAAATCCAGCCGCTTCTTCCTGGGGTGGTGATTATTGCTGCTGAGCTCTCAAGAAGTTCTCCCAGGACTAATGGCAGAGGAAAGGATGTTTGCAGGGTTGGTCCCTCCCTCTGCAGGCACAGGGGCTCTGCTTGTGCGGCTTTATTGATCCACCTAAGGCAGGGATTTCACTGAAAACTCCACAGCTCATCACAGCACTACCACTGTTCATGCCATTACTAACACAGCTACTAAAATATTAATAAAACTCCAGCAGGATTCAAAGGGCTGTGCTGAATTGCTTACAGAGGGACTTCCATGCTGAGAAAAAAATTACAAGCATAACCGGATTTCAATAGTAATTATTTAAACCTATTTATCTTTCACTTGTCCAGCTTTTTTTTTTTTCTTTCCCTTGGCTTGACTGACATATAGTATTATTCAGGTATTAAGCAAATTTCCCTTCCCCAGGGAGCCCCAGACTACCTGCCTCAGTTTTAAAGCCACATCACTGCAGGAAGTCCCTCAAGAGGTAGCCGGAGCAGAAAAACACTTTATTTCAAATGTAACTATCTGAAAGATCAAGTGACACAAAGGAAGCAGCTGGTTAAGCAAATTGCTCTCTGTATAAATACTTTTGAACTGTCAGGTTTGTACCAGTCTTTTCAAATGTCGTTGTGTGTTTCTGGGAAATTAATTTAAAATCAAATTACTTGTTTCCTGCTTCGGAGGGCATGTGGTCTAAAATATATTCTAACTTTAATAAATCAAATTATGCATGTCCAAACCTATACCCTCTGCATAGGAAGGTACTACATACAATTTTTAGTCACACATTAGCACTGATCTGGCCAATAACCACAGAGTTACAGGTATGTCTCTGACAAAAAGTAACACTTTTTAAGGCTTTCCAGCAGCATTTATCTTTGGAAATAGTTTAAATATTCAGGAGACAATCCAATATGGAAGGCACAATACACACAACTAAGGCACTCAGCCATAAAATGTCCTTCTTTTTTTTTTTAATGCAATGTGCATACAACTTAGTACCAAGTAATCTTAATGGCATGATATTGGTTATAGCACTGGAACAGCAGAAACAATTGTTTCATGTTGAAAGTGCAACACAATCTGAGGTGACGTCTCAAGCTCACTTATGCAGAAAGGTTGTGCTCTCAGATTCACTAGAAACCATGCACTGTATGAGGACAGACCCTGTAACTCAGCTGATCTGATGAATATTCTAATTGTTAAGCAAATTATTGTGTTAAGCTAGAGTCAAATGCCAAACTTACACCAATTCTCTATTTACTAATCCCTCTGTGTGGTACCAGGACTTAGCAACGCTTTCACAGAGACTCAACTGCAGGAAATATGGACCTGGCTTCTTCCCAGAAATCACACTTGTACCAAGTATCCAACGAGCTAATGTTAATTAAAACTGATGAATATATCCTGGCAAAATATTCAATGGGGGCATCACGCACATGTGCTCAGACAACGACTTGGTTCATCAACGTGTGTTTTCAGACTTGTCCTCTGAATTTATAAGCTGGGAGGAAATGAGTAAGAGAAATAGACTGTTCCAAAGAATCTGGTTGTGCAGACTGATCCCAAAAGGAGTGTTAGGGAATCAGCTGAGTTTTTGCAAGCAACCAGTGACAGCACTGGTGAGCCATTCTCTTGAGATGTGAGTCTCACTTCCAGCACACAGCACCTGAAAATCAGCAGGGACCTGTCTGGGGAAAGGTGCCTTTGGTTTATGTTGTTTTACTTTGGGCTGTTTGCTTTTGTTCTTATTCCAGATGATTTATTCTTCTGGTGGCAACGGCAGCAGGTCTATCTCCTGTACAGCTTCCCACCGTGGGTGGTTTACATAATTTATGTTTAATTTTTGTATCAAGTGCCACGTTGCCAAGGCAATACACATTATGCTAATATTTATCAATTCAGTCGCTTTCTTCATTTGTAAAGTAAAAACATTGAATTGTACTAAAACTTTGTGCATGCAAAGGGAGGGTTGGGAGCCCAGGACTGACCTCAGCATGAACCAAAAGTTTGCTCACCTCTGCTCTGACATGGGCCCTAAAAAGAGGTGATCTGCCAACACCATACCAGTGATTAGCACATGGAGGGGGGTGGACAGTGCTGTCCCCTCTCACACTGCAGGCCAGTTCCAGCACCAGGAAAGCAGCTACCAGATTGGAAACAGGGCATAATCTGGGTGACATCTCAAGAGTGCTGGTGCAGGAGCCACATAGCTGTTTTTGCTGACACAAATAAATGCAAAGGCTCCACACTGCGTTGTGTGTCTGAAAAGCACAGATCGGCTAATTGTTCCAGGCTCAAAGGGGGATTAGTGCAAATGCTGCTCCTCTGGAAAGAGGACTTGCTGCTGGCAAAACAAGGCAAATACCTGTCATCAGCATGGATTCACTTTATTCCTTCCCCATGGAAATATCATTTTTTCCATTCTGTGCAAACAAATTTAGAAAGAGGATCCCAGGACTTGGCTTTCGGGTGGTGATCGGTTCAGATGGGTTCTCCTGATGCTTCTCTCACTCCCTAGATCATGTCCCTATCTTGTGACATTTGTTCCCTGATTCTCTGGCCGTGGCTGTTGTGAGAAAGATGTGCAAATCCTTTGATAGCAGGAAGCTTCCTGTCCCAAGCAGGTGGGGAGGAAAGAAATGGGAATTGGCTCTGGAGCCCTCCTCCCTTGCTATTGTTACTGCAGAGCCAGCGAGCAAAAATGATGTGGATGGATTAAGCTAATTATTTTGCTATTTTATGAGAAGGTTAAGGGTTTTCCCTTTGTCTGGTGAGACAGTGCAAATGCAAACTGCCTTTTACTCAGTCACAATGCAATGGGAATCTTTGATGTCTCATGCATCCAGCTGCTTCTTTGAAGTCCACTTTTGGCACACTAACAGGAATTCAGGGGTGTCTGAGTTCTGCAATCACATTCCAGGAACAGGCTAGTCAGGACATTTCCAGGTACAGACTCAGGAGTGGAGGCTTGTCCTTGTCCCCCAAGGCATGCCTGCACACACTGGGCCATGCCAGGGGGATCCTCCTTTACCTTGGGATGTTGCCCATCAGAGGAGCAGCAGGATTCTGACAGCAGAAGAATTCATTAATTAATTCATTAATGAGTGACACTATGACATTGAGTCTCCTCAGGAAATCCAGCTCCTTTAACAGATGACAACACATTTTAACCTGCAAATTTTCCTATACCCAAATTTTGGATACCATAAGGGGAGACAGGGTTTTCATGTGTAGTAAACCTAGTTCAGCAGTGTGACAGGGATTGTTGCAACAGGGCTGTTTACTCTGTAAAGTGATTGTTGATGTTTGTGTTTCTCCTTGCAGACAACTATGGATTTCACAAAATTGCAGTGCCTGGTAGCAATTGGCACCCTTTCTCAGCAACAGTTTGCATCTAGTAACTGGCACCCTTCCTCTGCAAAGGAGCCAACAAGTAAATGATGGTGAAAACTGAACTGTTTATATACTACCTCCACATAAGCGGAGAAGCAAGCAGATTGCAGAGCTGCTGAAAGACGGTGAGCTTGCATTGCTGCCTTGGTGGCACTTGTTCCGTGTGTAAAGTAAACAGGAGACTGCAGTCTGCAGAGCTGTCAGGCTGACAACTCTCAGATATGCTGAATTCAGTCTTTCTGAAAAGCCTTGAAAAATCTGAGCTGAAATAGGAGAGAAATAAATAACCACAAATGGGAGAAACGTATCGTTGGTTCTTATTACCAGAACAGATCATTTATGATCCTGGTTCTTCTCTTTCACAAATAAATGTAAATCCTTGTAGCACCAACAAAATCAGTGCATTTATCTTTCTGCATGAAGAAAGATCACCGAATATATCAGGAAAATTCCCTTACTTCCATAATATGAGATGGGGAAGATTAGTATCACTTATGCTGCTATGAATAAAAGAAGGTTGGAGAGCAGCTGTCAATTTTAAATGTGCACATTTAAGAATCTCTCTAACCTGCTTTGAAGATTTGCTTCTGTAATGCAGAGTTGCCACTACTCAGTTTAATGGGCTATCACAGAAAAACCTGTATCAATACCACACCAGAGCACAAGGATTATAGCTGAGACACAAAAAGGACTTGTGCTATATAGTGTTCATTTCTAAGAGCATTTCACTGGCAAACTACAACATTTTCAATTCCAATGTAAAGTGTGTCAAG